TTGTCTTGGTAATTATTATTGGTGTGATTACCAGGAAGGGATTAATTAATTAATCTGATTATCCGATTTTAATGTGATTCCGTCCTAAGCGGCATAACATAAGTAAGTATGTTAGGCAGGCAGATCAAGAATGAGTCATAATGTCAAAGTAAAGGACCTGTCCTTCACAAATTAGTTTTTATTCAATGCTTAAAATAAGCGAATATCTGTTACCGCATGATTTTCGTGCCCTGGAGCTTGTTATTTACTTAAGTCCTATTGAGCCATCATAATTGATGCACAGCCAGTTCCTTTATGGTTGAGGATTAAAATTCGCTTCCACCTTCAGCCTGATCACCACTTTCCCTCAGGGAGATGTAGACCACGAGACGAGCTTCAGTCAGTAAATATCTATAGTATAATAGGAGAAGAATGTTTCTTACCGAGTATGAAGATGATGATAATATCCACGTGTCTTGTCCCCAAACCGCTTTCTTTGTAGTCTGGAACACAAATTAGACAGCAATATTGAAGAAATCTTGTTACGAGTGCTTATTAAAATATAATATTTATGGCTTCCTACAAAGTAAGATAGTAATCAAATTGCTCAGTGCTTCTAATTAATCTTCAATTCGATTCAAGTGTTCTTAGAAGCCACTTGACTTCGAGTGTTCTTTGAATAGAGTGCCTGTGTAGGTAGACTTGAGATATTAATTTGGTACGAGCAAGATTTCTGTCTACCTAATTATCCATACTTATATTATTTATAGGGGAAAGCTTGTGATAACGATAAAGGGACAAATGACTGTTAAGCTTCAACCACACCAATGCGTGCAGATCGCCATCGCCAACGCGATCATAGGCCAATGACAGGTCGCGCGACCCGTGACAGTTCATGCAACACTGTGGGTCTATAGTTCCAAAATACTGAACTGTCCTATCGATGACATTGACAGCGGGGCGCCACCGTCAATACCGAATCGCTGGTTCCGATTTTTGCCATGTTGGAAACCATAAAGTTGAACGATGGTAGCGCCCCCCTGTCATTGAGTTTGGCGGGACAGTTCAGCGTGGGTCATCTATAGTCAAAATGCCATCGCAAACCAATAGAAAGTTTTCGCTAATGTAAGTCGCCGCGTCACCAGTAATTCGATTCGATCGGAAAATGGCAGCCAAAATGCACATTGAACCACCAACGACGCGGCGATATAAAAGTTCATTCAAAATCGAATAAAAGTTACAAAATGTCTATGACTTTGCGATTGTTTTTACTATTATTAGCTTTTTTTAAAATTAGTTTCTTCCTTCTTTCTGCTCTCTGTTTACGTCTATGCTTCGCTGTCAAACTAGCTGTCAAAACGACATCGGGATACGGATTTGTCAAAACAGCTTTAGGATGGGTTGCACCATCTTAGTTTAACTTTGACAAACTTAACTAGTTTAAGTTTATTTGTTTGCGACTGGTTTGCGATGGGTTTGCGATTTTAAAGTGCGTTTTGACTAGACCCACTGTTATTTACCTATGACCGCGCGCGGGCGATGGCGATTTGCACGCGTTGGTATGGTTGAAGCATTACTCCTTCATGCCAAAATTTCAGACTGAATAAGTATGAGACTGTATTATAATTTACCAAGATTACTGCAGGAAAACCAGAGTAACTGACATAGCCAGAATTTCCAAAATTAAGTAGCAGGAGGTGGGGCGACACACATAGTTTTTAACGGGACTATTCCCACCTCTCGTTCCCACCACTGCAACTCCTGTGTAGCCAGGACCTACAGCTTGACCGCCACAAAAACCCAACCAATGAAGGTCAAGTTTGTCCCGGGGGAAAGTTAAACTGTCATTGGACCCGCAACGAAATTAATCAGAAGAACATAGGAGGAGTTCGAAATACACATAGTTTGCGTGCCGTGGTCGTTGGGGCAGAAATGTTCTTGAGTGGCGACCACGAGCCGGAAGACCTATGGGCAGGCCATCCACTAAGTGGACCGACGATCTGGTTAAGTCGCGGGAAGTACCTGGATGCAGGTGGCGCAGGACCGGTCGTTGTGGAAATGCTTGAAGGTAGCCTTTGTCCAGTAGTAGACGTCATTTGGTAGGTGAATAAAATACCTAACTATGTAGGTACAGTTCTTTTACCAATGTTGCTTCTTATGTATTAGACTCAGTGATCGTTTCGCTACGGCTGTGATACGGCCCTGAGGTTACAAAACAGTAGTCAAACATGACTTTATCGAATCAATTTCAAAGACAAAATGTTATATGACAGTATTGGTTTTGCGTTTCGTACTTACCAGCAACTTGACGTCAAAAGTTCTTTTTTTATTTATTTACTTATCACTTCACTACACTTTAGACCACAAGAAATTGTCTGTTAAAGTCTAATGATTAGACTCATATTTAATTCATTAAAACATCTCAATATGATCGACCATGTTCGCTCACTCAGTTTAACTACCCCCCTCCACGGAACCACGAAACCCAACTTCTATTTAATTATTTACCTACCTGCCTACGAATTGTTTTAATAAAATAAAAAAAAAAAACAAATAAAGTGTTGCTAGAATAAAATATGACTAAATTAGAGGATATTTTTTTATTTTTAATGTCTCAAAATGTACCTCTATGATGCCTGACCATTTGTAATAGCAATGTGTTCCAAGTGTGGCAAAGTGCTCTGTAATGTTACAAACTCAGTGTAGTGGATACGCAGTTGGAGACCTTAGGTCTCATCTTCGATTAGTAGATGGAACAAGGAAACGTTTTAAGGCCACAAATCAAATAATTTATTTGCATTACATGTGTGGTTTGACAGTTGGTAAATGGTAGGGTAGTACATCATATTCATCCTGTAAGGGCATAGCAAGTATTATTTATACTAATATTATAAAGAGGTAAAGTTTGTGTGTTTGTAGGTATATTTGTTAAATTGTAAGGGGTAATCTCGGGATCTACTGAATAGATTTTCAAAATTCTTTCACCAATAGAAAGCCACAAATTCCACGCGGGCGAAGCCGCGGGCGGAAAGCTAGTGTATAGTTATCTTATAGGTACATTTTACTGAATTAATTCATGTAAGATAAATTAAATTTTACAAAATAAAAGAAGTAATCCACATTGGTGAATACACCGTTACAATGATTGAAAAATCCGCCAGATGGCAATACGTAGATGCGAGGTCCACATGCTGCATGATTGGTGGTTTTTGACATGACATTGACAGATTTGTCAAAATCCACCAATCACGCAGCATTTGGACCTCGCGTCTACGTATTGCCATCTGGCGGATTTTTCAATCGCGAAAACCCTCATTGAACAAGGCCTGGCTATGAACTAACAATGTAAACAAATCGAGAACCTAGCATTTAAACCATTTAATTGTAAACACCCTCTTTACACAATCGGTCAAATCAAACATTTATATCGGTGTGTATCTTCGAGTTGATAGTTTTGGAGAAGGCATAGATAGCCCACGCTCAAGCGACCATGACCATAATGTTATTATGTTACGTCTATAGACCTTCTTTCGTGATTTTTGCCTTCATCGTAATATGTATCGCTATAATAACAACTTTTAACAAAATCAGTAAAATCTATTTTATCAAGAAGGCTACACTGTGCATTCAACAGCACATCACACTTTATATTTTTGTTGCAGAATAGCACAGATCTATTACAATTAGACAAGGTGTCATAAAGTTTATCTGGATGTGATTGGTCTATTAGAATATTGTTAATGGTAAAAGGGAATTTGCTCATGACGTCTCCATTGCCAGACTCGATGGAGCGTGCTCGCTGTGGCGTGACGTCATTACTCCTGAATTCCTGATCATACTTCCGGTTGTATTGTGCGAGTTGCTTAATACTATCATTTGTGATCAGCACCTGATTGTTGATGGTGCGGTGGACCAGAGATAATAATCATCGACTAATAGTACACCTATTTAGGCTGCGTTGCACTACCTTACTTTGACTGTAACTATTACGATAACCGGTGTTTTTTGTATGGAGTTTGACAGATTTTTGACGTTTGTCAAAGTTAAAGTAAGATGGTGCTACCCAGCCTTAGTGTGGATTCGACCAAACAAGAGTAAATATTAATCTCAGAATATATTTTCAGTTTTGGCAGGCGCTGGATGCAGGCCGTTACCAACCGTGCGATGTGGAAGTCATTGGGGGAGGCCTATGTTCAGCAGTGGACGTCCTGTGGCTGAAATGATGATGATGATGATATTGTCAGTTATGACATTTATTTCCCATACTGAAACTCTCAATCTGCCAGTTATACCAGGAGTTATTCACGGATAAAAGTTTGGTCGAATCGGAACTTAGAAGTAAATATACCATTGTTATACAATTTCCCACCGCTGCAACTCCTGTATAGCCAGGATCTACAGCTTATCTGCATAGTATACACTTATTTATTGTCCCACTGCTGACAAAAATATTTTTTCATAACTATTAGATGTGTTTTAAGTCTAATTTCAGCTTAGCTTGAAGGATTTTTTTAACAGGGAGAGAGTTATTTTATGGCTTTAAATTGACTGTTTTTGGCATGTTTGTTGCAAAACTTTGCTTCTGCCAAATTGTCACTTTCAATGTGATTTCTTGTGACCATATCCACAAATTCTGGTTTTTGTGAGTTTTGTAGCAGGAAATACAGGAAAAGTAAAAAAAATGTAGTTGATTTCATTTCCAAGATTTTATTGAAACACTTAAATTCGACTTTTTAAGTACATATTAGAATTAGAACAATAAAATTAATGTAAGTCGTCTAATTATGGCAACGCATTAAATTTGTAACACCCTTACACTTAAAAGTCTATAAAATATTTTAAATTTACAAAACTTATTAATACTGTTTTATATTTACAAAAGTAAGTATTAACAATGTTTATATATTATTTGGAAAATGCAAGGCACCGGCTTAGCACCAAATTTTAATCAGGAAGTAGAGAATAACATATTAAAATACATACTCGTATTACAAAATATTATTTCACTGGTCCAAAAACATTATATAAAAGTCTTGGCAAATTTTGTATAAATACATATTTATTTATATCTAAAGCGAAAAATACCAATTTCGCATACAACATCATACCCGTACTTATCTTATTATTGGTACGGTTATTTACATAGTATTTAAGGTGACTCTACTTTTTAAAAGCTGTAATAAAAACTTTGTATTTAACAAGGCGAATTTCGATTGTAATAAAAATATACCGGCAGGTAAATTACCTAATTTAATTCAATCTCTTTTTCTGTAAGTAGTATTTATTTATATATTTTCTCGTTTATATTATGACAATTCATTAACAATGTTACTCTTAAAAAGTAGAGTTACCTAATCTCAATACTATGACCATACTACAAAAGAACAACGATTTATTCATAAGTTACAAGTCACGTTTTGCCCTAAATAACATATTTACAATACCAAATTCATATAAAATTTCAATATAATATGTCCAAAATCATGCCATGAAAGACTATAATTTTTGTACTAAGAAATTATAATGTTCAGGTATTTCATTATAAGTTTACAAGGAAAAAGTCATTTTCTTTTACTAATAAAAAGTAAATTAATTCATTAAAAATATATACTTTAATGCATTTTCCCATTTCAGATCGATTAAAAATTGTAAATAGAAGGAACTTTGATAAGTTGAGTCTTTGAAACATACTAAAGGAACTAAATATTTAGATAGATATAATATAATACATCGGTGGTCAGTTCTAATATTTTCATGTCTTACTACTAATTTGGACATCTGTAACACCTTTATTTAAATGTCAATAACATGGTAAATCATCTATAAAGTTAAAACATTTTATTTTATTTAACCAATGTCATTAACATTCAAAGAATTAGAGCAGACCGCTAAAAATGGAAGACAAACAGTCAATTCGATATAACATTGAATAAACTCCAAAGTCAACTAAATACTTGTCAGAAATGCTCACTGTAACAAATGGTACAGTTGAAAAACTGGTAGATATAAACAATATATCTTAAGAAGATATGTTAAGAAGGCTAGCACGAATTCACGTGCTTCAAGGCACGCTCTCTATCACTGTCGAATGGATAATACTGGACAAAAATCTATGCCAGAGCATCGAACTAAATTATACCCTAAAGAAAATACTCAAGCCAATACTATCGGTTTATGCACAAAGACTCAACGTACTTAGGATCCATTTCGTCTATCTCTCTGCCTTTTGTCTCTGGCACAAATAATACTACGAAAAGTAGACACAGTACCGATATACCTGCGTACATCCAAAAGAGTCCATACAGTCCTATATGATCTTGAAAGTCGGCAGCAGTTTTGACGTTCACAAAACCACACAGATGACTGAAACTAGTAGCTAAGGCACTGCCTATGCTCCTATATTCTAAAGGAAACAATTCTCCTATCAAAAGAGAAGATATGGGGCTGATTCCCAAAGAGAACGCTATGGTGAATGACAGGACACACATCAATGGGATCCAATCGTATGCCCCGGCTTCGGCGTGGTTTATATTCGTGGTGTTTCTGATGACGTCTTCGTAGTACGCGTACGATCCAAACCCAGCCAACGCTATGGACATCATAACGCCGCTAATCATGAGCAATGGCAGCCTCCCCACGTTGTCTATGAGCATGCCAGAGAGGCAAGAAGCCAGGAGTTGCACGACACTGGTGGCTATGGCGCCTCCGTGTGGATTCATCATCCTCAAAGTCTTCTTGAACATCGATACAGCGTAGAAGTTGAAGACGTGAGCTCCCGTGAATCTTTGGAAGAACATGAGCCCACACGTGATGAGAACAGGTCTGGTCAGTCTTTTGGAGAGGAGGATCTTGACTCTGCAGCTATTGCCGTCATTGTACTGCTTGCTGGCTAAGATGTTGGTTCTGATCGTGGCCAATTCCTGGCGGATATCAGCGTCGGGGCCGCGGAGCCATTGGAGGGACTTTTCAGCTTCTTGTTCCTTACCCCTTAAGAGTAAGGACGAAGGTGTTTCAGGGACGAAGATCAGGGCAAAGAAGAGAAGTACTGGGGCAGCTGCTACCACCAAAGCCAGCTGATACCAGTTGAGGTAGGCTCCTAGGGAGAAGGCGATAAGGATGCCGATCTGACTGAGGATCTTGAGGACTGAGCTGAGGCATCCTCGGATCTCTGGTACGGCGATTTCTGTGACGTAGACCTGGGGAGAAGGAAAAGATTATTGAAATAAATGTTTGTTCATTGTATGTTGTTGATATAATAATATGCATAGCGGGCGGCGCAGGACCGGTCTTTGTGAAATCCTTGGGGGAGGCCTTTGTCCAGCAGTGGGCGTCATTCGGCTGAAACGAACGAACTATATGTTGTTGCTTATACTACCTATTACTTATTGTATGACCGTATAGCAAACATAAACAGTTCAACCAATCGTAGTTCACAAAGTTTTTATTGTAGCGATCCTACTCTTTAAAACAAGTATGTACATTATCTAAAGAAATAATATAACTGCGACCGAATATGATATTTGGCGTGACTTAATTTGTAACAAACGTGTCTAATCACTCAAAACCGATACCTTTAAATATTTGGAAAGTTTATTTTGGAGGCGTATGCGTAACTTTTATTTACAAACTAGCGGCCGCCCGCGACTTCGTACGCGTGAATGCCGTTTCCTCCCTTAGGGGTGGAGTTTCCTTTCTTAGCAGATGCCAAATTTCAGTCCGATCCGTCCATTGGTTTGGGTTGGGCGTTTTATTACTATGTCAGTCAGTCAGTCAGTCACCTTTGAGTTAAAAGATAAAAGATAGGCATTGAGTTATACATATTCAAGCAATTATTCAAGATGAAGAAATCGAAAGTACTTTAATATATCCCACGAGCGAAGCTGCGCGTCTAAGCTAGAATAAAATATAAAAAATGTTTTAAAAATAGCCAAAATAACTGCGTAGTTCAGTGTTATCATCCTTTATTATTTATTAGTTTGTTTAACAGACCGTACCTAGTTAAAAATAATAACATAAAAAAACATAAATAACTGGTTTTCGCAATAGGAGAAACCTTTTAAAAGTGGATGTAACAAACTCATGAAAAGAAACTTCGAAAATCGTTAAAATAAGACCTGAAATACTCCTAAGTAAAGATTTTTTAAATTGCCTGATATGATCCAAAGGAAATATAATACCAAATGTTTTTTTTAGTTTGTCTCATTTGAGAATTTATTGAATCCAGGACCTCAAATTCAACGAGGTAGTCTCTCAACACAAGACCACTGAACCATATAAAGTATTACGAAAGTAGGTTTTATTGTATTTTTTTTATTTGACATACCTACATAAAAGATCTAATTGCTTACTACCACGGATACATCCCGGTTTTTCGAGGAACTGCTTTTTGCAGGATCTCGTTTAAAGTACGGCCAACTAGCAGCGATAGGTACAAAAGGTCGATACGACTGTCGAGTTGACAATATATTCTGTCTCTTCCCATCTTTTGTATTAATTTGTCGTAATGTCTCGTTCTCCCGCCAAAATATGTCAAAGTCAGACGGGTTCACCCATGACATTGGGTTTGTTTACATTTGGTGTCAGTACTTATTTAGTAGTATACATTTCATGTTTTAATAGTTGAAACAGTCCAGTTTTGGGAGGATGCATTACTTGATCCCGCAAAACGGGATTACGGTTGTAGTAGCCCTAAGAATGATAGATTTTATCGTTGATAAACCATAATATTTCCAAACTACTTAGTATTTTACAACCGCTTCTCACCATTGTGGTTCGATTCCCACTCGGGTCACACACGCCATAAAGATTCACGGCAAGTACAGTGAACACTTTCCATAACCAATGGTAAAAGATTTCCATAGCATTTCTATAGGTTTTGTTCTGTTCGAGGAAGAGTTGAAGGTAAAGAATAGATGGTTCCAGAATGTCCAGAAAGTTTGTTTAGTTTTCGCCTACTTTCTGTTTTCAATTACCTACGCAGATTTTATTTATAAAATTTTTGTGCCCTTATTTTTTATAAGTTTAGCTAGAACATGTCTATCAATGACAAAATCAATAACAATATCAAAAACAAGAAAAAAACTTGAAATGAAACGAATGAAATAAAACTACATTAATTAATTGACAAAACGCAAGAGACAGCTACAAAACAGTACAATTACATTATTATTATTTAGTTAAAAAGAAATCTAAAAAAAATCTTGAGATATTTTAAACTTAAAAAAACTAATTTTAAAATTATTTAGCCGGAAAACAGCAACAATCCGAATTTATTCCTGTACAATTCCAAGTTTACATGCAACTAAAATTACTTATAAGAACATTTCCGCTTTTCTTTGATGCATTAACCGACCAACCGGTTGAAAAGTTTCACCAATTAGAAAAAGAATTGTTTTTTTTTTAAGCAAAGGCATAAATTATAAACATCAATCATCCTAATTGATGGTTCTGCAACTTGTTTATTCTTCCTTGGTTACTTGAAGCAGGGCTGTTATGGATATCCGTAACCGTAACCGAAACTATCGGATATTCGAAATAAAAAAATGTCCGTAACCGTAACCGAAACCGATTTAAAAGTTTTGGATAGTTTCGGATAAAAATCTTAATATTTTTAATATTTGTTACTTGTCTAGCATCCCCTGGGACCATTCTGATATACCCGCCTGTTTTATTTACCTTTATGGTGGGTTGCGCAGCATCTTGCTATTTGAATTTTACTTTTTTAACCGAAATTATCCGAAACTTTCGGATAATCCGAAATTAATACTATCCGAAACCGTAACCGAAACCGGTATTATATTATTTTAATATCCGTAACCGTATCCATAACCGAAACTTCATATCCATAACATCCCTGACTTGAAGCACAGAGGTAGAAAAGCATGCCTTTTGCCGTAAAATCTGAATGGTGCGAAAGGTGTTAACATGGGTTTTATGGTGCACACAGGCCGTTTGTTCATAGTTCACAGTTAAGTAGTTGGGACACAGAGGCGTGTAGTTCGTTAAACATTTCATAATCGTGGAGTTGCGTGTGTTCGTAGTGCGAAAACTATTTTAATTCATTATGCTTCTAGGCATAGGCACTTTGTCGATATTGTGTTTAATTTTTTTCTTAACTAACCGTTAACTTTAAATATTTTCGCCTCAATTTGAACTAAAATAAATTGATCAACTATTGAATAAGAAGCGAGAGAATGTATCAAAATCTTAATATGAAGTGTTTCGTTTCCGACACAAAATAATCTTTATTTTAACCACTTCACATAAATATCAAAGAAAGACATTTTAAAGTTTCTGAGTAAGATAAACCGTTCAGTCAATTTAGCCGTTTCTGAGTAAATTTATGATCTGTCAGCACAGTTTATTTCCTTGAATTTTAAATAGATCAAATACAACGTTCGCCATTTGCAAAGACAGTGTGTCAGACAAAGCTTTTTACAGAAGTAACAGTTTCTAATCGTGTTCCGTGCTCGCTAGCGTCTGCGACATTGTGTAGTTTTTTATTCTTTGTCGCGCTCGTGTGATTGATGTACTGACTAATTATGGGGTTTATTGTTCTGTTATGGCTGTGACCATGGGGTTTATGGAATTTCATCGCCTTTAATATTTTATGGGCTTTTACCTTACGTTTTGTTATTGATGTATGTTGGATAAAAGAATCAATCATTTGGTGAATTTGTTCCTTTTTGATTAGTACTTACCTATTTTTAGTGTTGATTGTATGATATGTGATTAAATTGGTTTTAATGTAGGTAAACATAATGTCTACTCTAAATAAAAAGAGGAAAGATTTGTTTGTTTGTATTGAATAGGTTCCGAAACTACTGGACTGATTTGAAAAAATCTTTCACCATTATAATTCTACATTATTTCTGATGAAGGATGTTCATCACTTACTAGTTTAATGTTATTGGGTTCAGAAATCTTTTAAAAATAAATATAATTTAATAAAAATAAGTCATTCATTATTTGTTTAATTACAATTATCTACGTGGGAACTACTCGTATAGTAGATCAATAACCATTATGTTCATTATCTATGGAGGATGTTTGAAAACATGACTCTTTCTTTACACTAATGATGTCATTAGAAAATTATGGGAACGGGATGTTTTTTTTAATGCGCCCAAACATATTTTTATACGTTTTAAAAACTAATTTTGCAGAGTTTTCTTTAATAAATCGACAGCACATCATGCTTCATATTTTTGTCACAAAACGACTCAAGATTTAAATGGTCACTATAGGACCATTATCATCATTTCAGCTACAGGTGTCCATTGCTGAATATAGGCCTCCCCCAATGATTTCCTTATTGACCGGTTGGTAGCGGCCATTACGGGACCATTCATTGGAAATCTTTGAGGAGGCAGCAGTAGACGTATTTTGGATAGAAGAGGAAATCCAGCAGTAGTTTAAATCATCATCATCATCATCACCATCATTTCAGCCATAGGACGTCCACTGCTGAACATAGGACTCCCCCAATGATTTTCACAATGGCCGGTTGCATCCAGCGCCTTAGGTATATCCGCCATCCGGCTATGCTCGCAATTATATTAGCAAGTTGAAGTGGCAATGGCAAGGACACATAGTACGCAGAACCGACGCCCTATGGGTCAGCAAGGTAGTTTAAATAGATCGTTAGAAACCCTTGGGGTAGACCTTTGACCAGCAGTTAGACGTTCAGCTAGCAGAAAAAGAAGAAGACTACATCAATATACCTACTTACTTGCGTTATCATAGTCATAGAGCAGACCAGCATGCCCCCACAGAAGGAAGTCGCTGCTAACATGTCGACGCTCGTCGACAGGGCTGTCACCAGCCACACCAGGGAGTAGGGCAGGGCTGCTGCGATGAGCACTGTGCGTCTGCCGAGCCTCATCGCCATGCCACCGAGGATGCCACCGATGAGGGCACCTGGGGAAGAAGAAAGAAGGTCTTTAAGTACACTGAAGTAGACCATTGGAACAGGGTGAATCCCGGGTGACATTCTGCGCACCCGATGTAGCGATGACCTAGTTAAGATTAGGGATGCTGCTGGATGCAAAAATCAGATCAATCGCTCTGGCTTTCTATGGGGATAGGCAGTACTTTTACTACACGCTTTACTTCAAGAATTATTATTCTTCAAGAATTATTTTTGGGCAAAAACGAAGCCTGTAATATCTTTCTCTTAAATCCTCTCATCTTCACACTAAAATTCATTCAAATTGGTACAATGGTTTAATTATGACAGACAGATAAAATTGTAAGTACAGTTGTGGATATGAAGTCTGAATTAATTTACTTTCTACATAGGTACTTGTATAAGCAATAACACTCTCTTGCTCTTCAGTGAAATGCCTGAGTAGGCAATATACCCAAAGTAAAATCGATATCGACAATCGTTTTACGGCTTCAGGCCTTTAATAGTCACCTGTCTATAGAGGGTATAAATATCTCGCACCCTGTATAAATCTAGCAGGGCATCTATAAACGTCCGCATGATAAGTGGCGATGTCTGTGTGTTCGTCTTCTGGGAGAGACTTATAGTCTGTTTATATTTATTGGGTATCGCATTCAGTATTTTATTCGGACAATACAGGGTGACTATTAAATCAAGCAATTAACTTAACACCCTGCGAACAAATGGAAATGGTTTTTAACTTAGAATTTTCCTAAAATTTCAGCATCAACTGCCGTTTCAATATTGGTCTTAATGCAATTTTATGATCATAAAATCCAAACTACGTAGGTAGGTACTTATTTTTAAGTCTAACTCTAAACGCGTTAATGTTTTTATCTGTATATTTTTTATAGAGATATGTCGATCGTTGAACAAGAAATTCCTTTATCTCCAAGTAAAATAATGACACAAAAACAAAAACCTATCAAAATGATTATTTTATAACCAAAGTCATTTTCATTCTGAAAACTTAATTAACCTTTCAAAGTCCGCTCCCATTAATATCAAAAACATCATACAGAAGCGACTATTGCTATGATATTTCGTTGACGTTTCCTCAGCAGATAAATCAGGGCATCCAGAAATAAATGACATTTGCGCACGTATAATGGGGATGTTGCCTGGGTCAAAAAGCAAGAGTTTTAATTAGTCCGTCAGTTAACTTATCAAAAAATACACTACACGTATTTTTCACTTTTTCAAACTAATGAAAATTTAAAGAGATAAAGCGCCCCAAAGTTCATAAGAAGAGGCCCGTGGCGTCAACGCTTGCTTAAAAATGCCGCACGTTGTGACGTCGTGCGCAACTTCAACGCACCATAACTATGTAATTATTTGTTAGATTGACAAATTAAATATATGTGTCCAATATTTTTTGATATTAAACATTACGGACTAAAAAAATTTTTTTAGGCAACTAGCCTATTATACATTACCGGCGCTAATGCATAGGTTAAGATGTGAAGCGTGTCATACTGAAATATGATGGTTTTCATCAAAGCAGGAGTAAAATTATACATCTATAAAAATATTAAGGGTTAAGTGGCATGAATCAACATAGGGAACTTGAATTAGCAAGCATATAAGTGCTAATAATCCAACTAAGGAATCAATAAATCAAAGCATCACTGATACAGAAAATTAAAGTAACAAAACTATCAGACATTTTTTTTGCATTTTTTTTTTTATTTATAACAAGGAAGCCCTTGGCATGCATTTCGCCTGATGGAAAGTGATGATCAGGCTAAAGGTAGAAGCGAGCTTCACCCGTTTCCTATAATCTGCATTATAATTCATTTGTTTTAGCACAATGACGTCTACTGCTGGACAAAGGGCTCCCCCAAAGATTTCATAACGACCTGTCCTGCTCTTTCCGCATCCAGGTACCTCCCGCGACCATCACCAGATCATCGGTCCACCTAGTGATAGACCTGCCCACACTACGTCTTCCTAATTTCAACAGACATCTTCAGACAGAATGACGATCGATGTATTTTTTTTTTCGATTTATGAGTTAAAATAGTTGTGACTTTACCAATGAAAATTCTCTAATCAATTAAACACATAAATTGTATACAGCCACTAATAAGAAAGTTCGCTAGTATAATGTATGATCTTTGAGTGATTGCACTCAAATTATATATAGACTGGATTCTGTCTGTCCGGTTGTTTATTTTCGTCTGAGCCGAGTCGGGACGATCCGACAGAATTAAGAGCTATCGTGGTTTGTACTTTTTGTGGTGCATGCCATTTACATTCCATGCAGATTTATAACTATCACACCATTAAAGTTATTTGAGATTCACCATCATCATCGTTAAACAGAATAAGTTGCAGGTTTGAAACTGCCAGGAGCATAATGTGCAAGTAGGCGTTTATACGCAAAAATATTTATTAAATATATGTGTAGTCTCAATATGGACGTTTATTAAACAATAAAACTTTTATAATTAGTGCAAAAAGTGTATAGATTTTTAAATAAAATATTCAGACCTACTTTTAGAAACGCCAACGCTTTTAGGACTAAAAGAAGTTTTAAGGCTCTATTAAAAATGCAGGTTGTATAGTTCTAGCTCTAGTTGTTGGAAAAGCTTATTAATTTATGAGTCATAAATGAAAAGAAAATGCTACCAGATTTGATCAAATTATGTTGATTGTAGGTTCATATTCTCTATTATCAGAAAATTTCAATTACACAGATGATGCCTTAGAAAATTTACTATTGAGTTTAAAAAAAATGATTTTAAGATGTCAAAAATGGGACCGTCACATCTCTATTTTTAACACAAATCCCACAAACATCCAAAATATTTTAACGAATCGATAACCTTGTCTCTGGAATTTATCAGGGCATACTAAATCTCGTACCATACAGGGTGTAATACATCTTTCGCTGTCAAAACAAAATGGTGGCCGATGCGGGATTAACTGCCGCGCGTCTTGAAGGTATTCCAAAAACGATTGTTTTGGTATCGATTGATAGATGGCGCCACGTTCGGCTGTCGTTTCTGCCATGCCGATAATGATGGCGTGATGTTTGACATGACTTAGCAACATAGCTCGTTCGTTCGTTCGTTTCAGCCGAAAGACGTACACTGCTGGACAAAGCCCCCCCAAGGATTTCCACAAAGACCGGTCCTGCGCCGCTCGCATCCAGGGACCTTCCGCGACCTTCACCAGATCGTCGGTCCACCAAGTGGGAGGCCTGCCCACGCTACGTCTTCTGGATTTACAGGATTTACATTTTACAAGGATACAAATTAATATCATAGTGAACATTCATCGTCATCACCATCATCATTAACACCAAAGGTAAACTGGTCGAGAATGCTTTAGTGCATTAAGTTCGCCTTATATACAAATTTATTTTGGCATTAAAGTTTAAATAAATAAAATAAATCATTTCAGCCACAGGACGTCCACTGCTGAACATAGGCCCCAATGACTTCCACATCGCACGGTTGGTAGCGGCCTGCATCCAGCGCCTTCCTGCTACCTTTATCAGGTCCTCGGTCCACCTTGAGGGTGGATATTGAACATTATCAAAGATTAATAAAAAACACGTCTTTCATTTTTGGTCTCATGACAAAAATAAATGATGATGCCTAAATTGCACTTTAAAACATATACCTTAATTGAATAACGTCATATTTTCATAAAAGTGACGTTAAAATTGCCGAAAATATAAAATATTGTGTATAATTGAATATATTGACGAATACCTGAATTTAAGAATTCTTTGGAATTCTGACTCTATCAAAGAGACACAAAGCAACATTTTCAATAACAAGTTTTATAACCCTTTAAATATTGCAACGTAAAATCAATTTTTCAATTTTCACCTTTGAGAAAGCAGATTTAAAGTTCAAAATAGAGTGAGATGCCGAAATATACTTATTTTATACCGTGAAATTGCCCACTAGGTGCCTTGGAGCGCTGATCAATATTTTAAATCGTCCAATTAGGGTATTAAGGCAATTTTCCATATAAATTGCATAAATTCGTGACAAATGACCGTACGTAATACAGACGATGGCGGCTACCGAGCTTTTAAGCTTAAGCGGTGTTTATCGAATTATGTAAATACCATAGAGTATGAGAGCAGAGAACCCATTGGTTTACAAAGTAGCGAAATTCAGCCCGTATAATTCTTTGTCTAAGATGCATTTTTTTCTTTAATTACATAAATAACTTATAACAGTATATCATTGTATTCTTGTTTTCCTCAACTTTCTGGTTTTATTTCTCATTAAAAAATAATGATCCATGTATGAAATGCAACACAAAAACACAACGAATCCTAAGAAAGAATGGAATCTGCTTTCCTTTAAGTAGGTATGCGTGCATGTATTGTCCCGAAGCAGTGGTAGGGTTAATACTGGGACGTGTAAAAGTGCTTTTTAAAAGCCAATTTGCAAAAATAAATGAGTTTTATGAACTTTTTTATGAGTTTTATGCCTTCGAGTATACAGGGTGAAATTTAAATTATTGGCATCCTTTTAAAATAAGACTACTTCAATACAAACTACATTCTCCAAATATGAGACAAATCTAATGAGCTTTTTTTGTCTTTATTTTTACTGTATAACTCGTCCTCATCAAAGTAACATCTACTCTCAATGGGACCCAAACCCGTGCCTGCTACTGGTCTTCTAGCAACACATACCATTACGCCTGTCAAATAAATAATTTAGTAGACCATAAAGATTCTTGAGATTATCTAGGGTAGACAATAATAAGGAAGCATAAGTCCATATACTCAATTATTTTAGCATAAAATTAATGTTAATCCTGTTACATAACTCCACAGTAGGAAATAATTCCAATAAATTTTATCTCAGTGCACGTATGCACTTAACGCACTATAATGCTACTTACGACTGTCATTATAGTGTTAGTGCTGTATACTAAACATAGTACTAGCAGGCCTGTTCACGCGAGACGGCACCTACTGGGATATATAATCG